TCTGGTCCTTTTATCCATGCTCTTAATGTTCCTTCCTAACATTCTGAAAATGCTTCTTCAAGAAATTCTGCAAGAGTCTCACACCCTCTTAGTTACTTGAATATTATCATTTATATTTCACCTTATCTCTATTACAACAAAATATTGCTTATCCTTTGTCTTATATCCTTTCATATAATCAATGTTCTTCTACATATAATTTTTTTTGTTGCACCATATCCTCAAATATTGAACCCAAAACATTTCAACAAGTGATAAGTGGTTAAAGCACCATGTTTCTTGTTTATTTTATTTCTTTTTTCATGGGGGTTTGCATAATTTTAGTTCCATTTTATGTGTTTTTATCTTGTTTTCATGTTTTTCAGGTAAAAAGAAGGTATTGGATTGGACTAGAGAAACAAACGCTAAATATAGAGTGAAAAGGGCTCTTCCCATATAAGTTTTCTGAGACCAACATGGCCTAGTTGTGTCCCATGACATGGACTGTGTTATCCCCTTTGAGCCACACCCATACAAGAAAAACACAAAAGGAGTTTACAGCGACCCATTTTGTAGAAAGTGCAAGGAGAAATAAATGACAACATCTATGAAAAAACTTAATTCGATCTATCAATTTTTAAAAATTCTTCATATTATTTAAAAAAAGAGGACATCATTTTACATTTTAGATATCAACCAATCATTATGAAAGGACAATTTAAAAAAAAACAAAATCTAAGAATAAACCAAATAAATCAGGTGTCACAAAAAATGTTGGCCAAAACAAGTGAACAATCTAAAACCTACAAAAAGCCTCTTATCTTGGTATTAGAGGAGGAGATGATAAAGTACCTTACATAGCGGAAATCAAGTGCCTTAAAATTAGGGATCAAGAAAGGATTTCAAAGAAGGATGGTATCAATTCAGTTTAGTCATGAATGTGTTATCTTTCAATATCAAAGGAGGAGAAAATCCAGCTAAGAGAAATCTAATTAAGAATCTTATAAGTTCAGGAAAGTTGGATATTTGTATGTTAGATGAAACAATGATCCAAAGAATGGAGAACTCTATGGCACAAGCGTTTTGGGGAAGTGGCGAAGTCATGTGGAGTGCTAAAAATACTAAAGGTAGATCACGAGTTCTAGATTGGGTATCATTTAACGAGCTATCTCATGAAGATATAATTGGTTTGGAGGCTTTTTTCTCTTTATAAGACATCAAGGAATTCATTTGGAATGTTGCTGGAGGAAAGAGCCCAGGCCTTGGCGGTTTCTCCATGGAGTTCTTCAAATTTAGTTTGGAAATTATAAAACTTGATCTGTTTGATTGCATAAAAGATATTTTTACAGGCACATCTTCCTAAGGCTATGACAACAAACTTTATCCTTTAATCCCTAAAAGTCAGAATCAACAAAAATTGAACGATTATCACCCAATTTGTCTCATTGGTAGCATATATAAGACAATCTATAAATTATTGACGGGGAAATTGAAGGGGTTTTTGAATATGCTTGTATAGGTGAATCAGTCAGATATTATTCCAAATAGAGGTTTAATGTTTGACGGAGTTTTGGTGCTTAATGATTTGGTCGACTTTACTCGGAGAAATATAAAAGGATTATTCCTTTTCAAAGTGGATTTTGAAAATCCTTTTGATTCTGTCTCTTGGGACTACTTGTTCTATGTTCTAAAAAGGATGGAATTTGGTAGTAAGTGGTTAAAATGGATTAAGGCGTGTGTTTTCTCTTTTTCCCTCCCAGTTTTGATAAACAGTAGTCCAACTATTGAATTTAAATGCTAGGATAGACCTTCGCTAAAGGGATCCTCTTTCCACTTTCCTTTTCATTTTTATCTTTTTCCATCCTTTCGCTTTGACCAATAATCTTCAATTCGATCTTCTCCAATTCGCTGTTGACATAATGATTTTGGCCCAATCGTCGTGGGAAAATATTTGGTTGATAAAAGCCTTGCTTCGTTGGTTTCAGATTTGTTCTGTTTTATCTGTGAAATTCCATAAAAGCAGGATTATTGGTTTCAATGTTAAATTGGATTTCTTTAAGGTTGTTTCTAACCTTTTAGCATGTGCTATTACTCATTTTCCTTTTAACTCCCTTGGCATTCTGGTGCAACCCTAGAAGGAGTTCCTCAGGGATTCCGTTTGTATCTAAGTTGAGGAATACGTTGCCCTTTTAGGAAGGAAAAGTTGTCTCTCTCAGAGGAAGAGTGACATTGTTGAACTCGGTACTAAATGCAAGTCCTCTTTTCTCCTCTTCCTTCTACAAAACACCAAAATTAGTCACTTGAGAGTTCATCAATACCTAGATAGCGTTCTTGTGGATTGGTCAAGAAAACCATATGATAATCAATTGGGTAGTGTAACACCCAAGGCCTAAGAGGATGGGGAATGGTTGTAACATCCGAGGCCAAAGAGGGCGGGGAGTGTTCTCCTGAATTCACATCGGAATCAGAGGATCATGAGGTTGTGCATGTATGGTACTCCACAGTTGAAATAAAGCTTATAAGGATTGATTGATATTACATATACCAACAAGATGTATCTTCTTTTTGATAGCCTAACAAATAAGAACTCCATAGTTAAGTGTGCTTGACTTCGAGTAGTATTTGGATGGATGACCTTCTGGGAAGTTTCCCAGAAAGCCTGTGAGTGAGGATAAAATATGCTGAAAAACTTGTGTTGGTTTGTGGGATCATTCAGTAATCTTGAAAGCAGACTGAGATGTTACATGTGGCGTGGTCTACAATTTGTACCTCAAAAGCTTAAAGGGGGTTCGATGTAAGACACCGTGATTTGTTCAATTAGGGATTACTGAGTAAATGGGGCCGGAGGATTTTATTAGAGGAATATTTGTCATGACATAAAGTGTTTTCCTTCAAATATGGTGATATTAAGGCTTCAATTCGTGATACATTTGTTTTCGTCGACAATTAAAAATCATTATTATGGTGGAGGGATTTAAGGATTTTGCTGGAAATTTAGGGTGTAGAAAATAATTGGTTCAACAGGAGCATTTCGTGTAAGGCAGTGAACACAATCGACATTAATATTTGGAGAGACTATTGGATTGGTGCATATCCACTTTGTATGCAATTTTCTGTGTTGTTCGATTGCTTGCAGAGACAAAAAAATGAGGATTAATGAAACTGATTCTTAGCTAGATGACAATTGAGTATGGTGCGTGTGTGTGTTCAAACATGGAGCTTTTTGTTGTGTACAAGTGTGAGTTAGAAATTTCACATTGCTTAGAAAAGTGGAGGTTGAACACTTTATAAGTGAGAGGACGCATACACCCATCACTTTAAGATTTTGGGTGAATATGTGGTGTCTCTCTCACTTGTGTGTTGCTGTTGACCCAATGTGCATGTTTCTCATGATGGCTCAACAGTGGTATCAAAGCCGATGGTTCAATTAAGGGACCAACTTATTGTATCGAAAGTCTTCCTGACAATGTGGTGGTTAGGTGGCGTGTTCTGTTATAGTGCCCACAATGGTGGTACAAGTGTATGTGGATGAAAGAGCTTCTGCTTGAGGAGGAGAATAAGGGATGAACTCACATTTTAGGGGGAGATTGTGTGTACACGTGTTAGTTGAAAGTCCCACATTGCTTAGAAAAGTGGAGGTTGAACACTTTATAAGTGAGAGAACTCGTACACTTATCACTTTAAGGTTTTAGGTGAATATGTGGCGTCTCTCTTACTTGTGTATTGCTTTTGATCCAATGTGGATGCTCCTCATGACGGCCGAACACTTTTATCTAGTCCGACAAGCTCTGATTGCGATAATCTCCTTTTTTTGAATCATATTCCCCTGTTACAGAAATGATGGATCAATTTGTGTGGTGGTGTGACTTAAGTGGCTTCTCGGTTAAATATGTGTTTTTCAGACTAAACTTTTTTGTCAGCCCGAATTTTCCGCCGGATATCAATTTGAGGTACGTTCGAAAATCTAATACTTCCAGTAACATACGAGTGTTATTGTGGAAGTTGCTCTTAAATAAACTTCAAATGAAATATAAGCTTGTAAAGAAGAAAATTATATCATGTGTTCATAGTCTTATATGTTTGTTATGTCTTGGTCCTGAAGAGTTTTATTGTCATTTGTTTATTAATTGTAACATGACTGTTGGGGATTGGTTATGTATTTTTGAATGGGTAGGGGTATATAGATTTATTTCTCCTCTTGATATTTCTAATAACTTGTTGTTTGACTCTGCATAACGGAGGACGGTGAAGAGAAATTGCAGAATTCTCGTTTGACTAGTTGTTGGAAGAGCTATTTAGTTGATAAAAAGTGATAGTCTTTTTAATGGTGGGATAAAAAGAGTCATGAAATTATAGCAGTTGTAAAATCTTTAGTTTGGAATTAGCATAGTGCTAGAACGAATGGTCATCTAGATTGTTCTATGTTTGGATTTCTAATCCTTTAAAGATCTTGAGGTTGTTTAGTCTATTCCATAAATTCCTATTACAATTTTCAGCCTCCATTCCATAAATTCCTAGATCCTTCCCTCCCTACCTATGTGCTACTTTTCATCTTTTTCTACTCTAATGTCTCTCTCCCATTCTCTTTTGTCAATGCTTTGGTCATCTAGCATACGTGCCAACTCTTCAATATCAAATACACATTAAATTCTACATTAGTGACGAAGAAAACCAAAAATAATTGAACCATTACTAATTTAGTATTACACTTTCAAGTTTCAACTATATAATTGATAACTGATAATATATAAAAATTTAACTGACATGTAAACCTTCTATAGTCAACTTTGGACTTTGAGTGGGTGGCGGAAATCGTAATTAAAATAGTCCAATTATTGGTAAGTAGAATAACTTTAATTAAAATTTAATTATTTTGTTTACTTGTAAGAAAATTCAATAATTAAAATAATATATATTTCATTAATATAGGACATTGAGATCTACCAAACTTGTGACTATATAAACCAATGCAAAAGTAGGACTTCAACACTTCCAGCCCAAACATTAAGCCATTTATCAAAATGTCTGGAGGTGAAACAAATCAAATGAACATAGAGGAAGAAACAGAGACAATAACAAAGGACATTCCAGAGAAGAAGCTGAAAGATCGTAAGGTGTCATGGGCAAAACTCCGTCGTGTAGATTCTCTCAATTTAGAAGCTGGAAGAGTTTCTATGAATACAAATCACCATTCCAAGGTATGTAGTTTATAATCATATCATCTATTAATAGTTTGAGCCGTTCTCATTCTACCGATCAATTTTGTAATATTGAGTTAGGTTCAACCATATTTCTTTCTGATTCTGTGATGTAGGTGGGTTGGAGCATGACGTTGAGTTTGGCATTTCAAAGCATAGGGATTGTGTACGGTGATATTGGTACATCACCACTTTATGTGTATGCAAGTACTTTCACAGATGGAATAAAAAACAGGGATGACATTCTTGGAGTTTTGTCTCTCATCATCTACACCATTGTTCTCATTCCCATGCTCAAATATGTTTTCATTGTTTTATGGGCTAATGATAATGGGAACGGTATGACAAATTTTATATTTAATTTTCTTTTTACGTATTATAAAATATTATAATTCTTTAGAAATTAATATTGAAAATATATATCTCTAATTATATTTTATGTTTGTTTGTTTTTTTACAAAAAAAAAAATCAAATATACTAATTAAGTCTCTTGAGAGATTGAAAGTAAGAGTTAAAACATATTTGTGTGTATTTTGTGAACATTCTAACAAATATTTACATATTATTTAAATATTATTTTTAATAATTCATATTTGCAAATAAAAAATTAACTTTGTACACTGTATTTTCGAAAAAGGAGAGTTAATAATAAATTCTTATGATACATAAACAGTCCCCAATATAGACCTAAAAAAAGTTCTAAAGAAAATTTTTTAGAAAAATAGTAGGTTCGGTTATTCAAATTTCATTAAAATAAATAGTATTATTCATAACATTCAATCTTTTAAAAGTAGGTTTATAGAACGAATGAATGTGTGAGATCTCCAAATCAAAATTAAATTAGTTAATTATCGGTTTAACAAGCTAACTGATAAGTGAGATATAAATAATATTTAAAATTTATTTGAAAAAAAGAAAGAAAGAACATGTAATAATCTTAAATGAAAACGATAGGTGACTAGTGCCTCTCATATGAGCCTAAAAAACCTCTAAAGATAGAGCCTCTCCATTTCTTTTTTACCATTTAAGCTAAAATAGTGGGTCTTATTCACACATTATGGAGTAATATTAGTTTTTTACATGGAATCTTTGACATTGATGTTGAATATTCCTATTTGAGAAAGAAAATATTTGTTTTTATAATTAATAAAAGACTTACAATAAGATTAATATTCAGATAATATTTGTAATTATTGTTTATAATTCAGAGATCCAATCTTGATTTAGTTATTACTCTAAGCCCTTACACCAACATTAAAAGAAACAAGGAATAATATTAATATCAATAAACCTTCCCAAGGTAATACCTCAAAAATGGAATCACTAATTGAAGCCTACAATGTTTATTTTTTAAGAATTTTCTTTGTAACTTTATAGGTATTAAATTTCAAACAAAATATAGCATTTTTTATTTTAAAATTTGATATGAAATAATAGTAAAAATTGAATGGATATCAATATATAGGTGGAGCATTTGCACTATACTCATTGATTTGTAGATATATAAAAGTGAGTTTGGCACCCAATCAACAACCAGAAGACATGGAACTTTCTAATTACAAACTTGAAATTCCATCTTACAAGCAAAAAAGAGCCAATAAAATAAAGAAAATGATTGAGCAAAGTCATTTTGCTAGAATTCTTCTCTTACTTCTAGCTATCATGGGAACTTCCATGGTTATAGGAGATGGCATTCTCACTCCTTCCATTTCAGTACTTTCAGCTGTTAGTGGAATCAGTTCTTCACTAGGTCAAAGTAAGCACTTTATTTAATTAATGCTTTATTTTTTATTATTATTATTTACTATGATAATATGTGATTTTTAACTTTGTCTTTTTTTATTTTATTTTTTCAGATGCTGTTGTGGGAATTACAGTAGCAATTTTGGTGGTGTTATTTTCTATGCAACGGTTTGGTACTGATAAAGTGGGAGCTTTATTTGCTCCAATTATTTTATTATGGTTTTTATTCATTGCTGGAATTGGTCTCTATAATTTATTCAAATATGACCTTGGAGTATTAAAAGCTTTTAATCCTAAATACATAGTTGATTATTTCAAAAGAAATGGTAAAGAAGGTTGGATATCATTAGGTGGAGTCTTCTTATGTATAACAGGTAATTATTATTTATTAATTAATTAACAATATCATCTACTCTATTAATTAATTAATCTTGTTTTAATTCTAACGAAGATATATTTTACCTATAATCATAGGATCTGAGGCCATGTTTGCTGATTTGGGACACTTCAATGTTAGAGCAATTCAAGTAAGTAAATAAAATAATACATTTATTATATACTTGTATATTGCAATATTGTATATGTATGTAGATTAGTTTTATCAAGATCATACATTATAATAAAATAATATTATATATGTATGCAGATTAGTTTTTCTTTTGTTACATGTCCTGCAATATTGGCAGCATATGTTGGACAAGCAGCATATCTAAGAGAGTTCCCTGACAAAGTCTCCAACACTTTCTATGACAGTATACCAGGTAATTAATTTCACCATTATGAATTAATCTCGATTAATTAATCGATTTTCGATTTTATTAATTAATGTGAATAATTTGCAGACCCTTTGTATTGGCCTACATTTGTTGTGGCCATTGGTGCTGCCATTATTGCTAGCCAAGCTATGATTTCAGGAGCATTTTCCATTATATCACAAGCCCTAAGTCTAGGTTGTTTCCCTAGGGTTAGGGTTGTTCATACTTCAACAAAGCATCAAGGTCAGGTGTATATTCCAGAGATCAACTACATGTTCATGCTTGGATGTATTGTGGTTTGTGTTGCCTTCAAAACCACTGATAAGATTAGTCATGCATATGGTATTGCGGTTATTGGTGATATGATGATTACAACAACATTGGTTTCACTGATAATGCTTGTTATATGGAAGAAGAGTTTATGGATGGTTATCCTTTTCTTTTGTGTTTTTGGTTTCACTGAGATTCTCTATTTCACTTCTCAACTAACCAAGTTCACAGGAGGAGGATATTTCCCAATTGTGCTAGCTTTGTTCTTGACAATGATTATGGGAATTTGGCATTATGTACACAAAGAAAGATACATGTTTGAGCTTAAAAACAAGGTTTCTACTGAGTATTTGAAAGAATTGGCTAATAATGCAGATGTCCACAGAATTCCTGGAATCGGACTTCTTTATTCCGAGCTCGTACAAGGAATTCCTCCGATATTTCCGCATTTCGTAGCTAGTGTTCCGTCGATTCATTCGGTCGTTGTGTTTGTTTCTATCAAGACTGTTCCGGTTAGTAGAGTTGCGTCGGAAGAGAGGTTTTTGTTTCGACAAGTGGAGCCGAGAGAGTATAGAATTTTCCGATGTGTGGTGAGGCGCGGTTACAACGATGTGCTCGAGGAGCCTGTTGAGTTCGAGTCGCAATTAATACAAAATCTCAAAGGATTCATTCAACAAGAGAATTTCATGCTTGAGGCTAATGAAGGAACTACTACTACAAATGTAGCAGCAGCAACAAGTGGAGAATTAGTAGTGCCTATTTCTACTAATGAGAATGAACAAATGGAAGATGTGAAACCAAAGTCTACGAATTCTTCTAGTAGAATCATCCCAAGTGTTGGTGTGTCTCATGTGTCATCAGATTCAATAAGATCATTACCAGGAAGTGTGACAAAATCATCAAATTTCTATGCACCTATGATTCAAGGACCTGAAGAGGAGATTAAGTTTATAGATAAAGCAATGGAAAGAGGAGTGGTGTATATGATAGGTGAAGCTGAGGTTGTGGCTCATCCAAATTCTTCCATTTTGAATAAGATTGTTGTGAACTATGCTTATAGCTTCTTGAGGAAGAACTTTAGACAGGGAGAACAGTCCATTGCAATCCCACACAAGAGACTTCTCAAAGTTGGAATGACATATGAGTTATAACATTGAGACATGTAGTGAAATAAAATGGTATATGATATGTTTGTATCATGTTGACTACAGTTGAGTTGGTGTATTATATGATAAATATGTGTGTTCAATTTTATTTATAGTTTGTGAATTCTCCAACAAGTCATGTAAGTTTTGAGACTGTAAAGGAGTTAAAGTTGTTGCTCTAACGTAAATAAGAAAGCAGATTGTGAATTATATGTTGTGTGCAAATTGATATCATTTAACTAATTTCCTAAATTGTGAATCATAATGAACTCATGGCTTATTTTCTTCAGCACCATTAATGATATCAAATTAAAATTCATTTATTCATCACCATCATCATCTTTATTGTCTTTTTCTCTCAACATCGCGACTAGTGTCTCTAAAAAAACAACCTCTTTCACTTTCTTGTTTGTTTTTCTAGATCAGAAAGTTAGTTTTCTCTTTTTTTTTTCTTCCCGTTTTTAAATACCATACATACATTTCTAGTTTTGTTCTAGATCTAACAATACCCATTTTCAAATTTTTATCAGCAGCAAAGTTGCAAAATTTCTAAATCTTTCTATCTATTATTTTCTCTATTTTCGATGTTCTATTTTGTTTTGTTGTTGTTGCCTATTGTTGAACATAAGAAGATAGTAGAGATTAGTGAAGTTACTTGTCCAACAAGTTAATTTCACTATGGATGAAACTATTAAGTGGAGCTATGTTATAACTAATCTAAATGTTTTTTTAAGTAGTTAAGAAGTTGTTATAAGTTAGTTATTTGATCTTATTGATTACAACTCATATAAGTAGTTGATAGTTTATCATCATTTGGTAGATTTTTGTAATTCTCTTTATCAGTGCTTAGTTACTCAATATTGTTCAACAGTGTTTTAGTTTAATTTTCACATGGTATCATCGACCCGTGGCTTCATCACCACCATTGTCGCTACATACTCGTTTTCTTTTCACAAATTTCAATTTGTTTCTTTTCTCATCTTCTTTCATCGATCATTATTTACCTTTGGTTTTTCTTCTTTTTCTTTTTGCTTCAACAATGTCAGTTGAAAGCCCTTCAAACACCCATTGTGGCTGTGCTCCTGCTTCAAATCTCAACCGGGGATATCAAAGCAATACTCACAATTCCTATTTCATGCATCCCAACAAAAATCTTGCAATGGTGTTAGTTACCCCACTACTGAATGCAGGAAACTGTTATTCTTGGTCGAGGTCCTTGACCATGACTCTAAGATCCAAGAACAAACTACACTCAATTAATGGAACTTTTCCTATACCATCAGATGAAGATCACGATTCTATTGCATGGGATCGATGCAACACCGTGATCATGTCATTGTTAAACAATTATACTGAATCTCAGAGCATCTTATGGATGGAAACGGCACCAAGCATATGGATAGAGCTTAAAGATCAATTCTATCATGGTGATATTCAAGAAATATGCACTCTCAAAAAAGGTGACTTTTTTTTTATTACACAAAACTGAAAATGCTATGGTAAGAATTAAATAAATTCGGTCGCATTTATGCAGGAGAATGTGCGACTGATTCGCTGTCGCACATGGATCAAAAACGAGTTTTTTGAAAAATGTAGTAAAGCGACAATGACTGAGATGTCGATTCACAATGATTCTTGATGATGAATTAACCAATTGAAAACGATTATGGGGGGGGGGGGGGGTTTATTTTGTTTTAGAATTCGATTAAGAAAATAAACAAAGTAAATAAGTGATTATTTAAATAAGTGATTAAAACAGGTTAATCTACCGGTTCGACTACCAACTCATCATCAATTATTACAAATCCAATTCCCTAAGCGGTTATAATTCCTATTCGCTTACAATATTGAACAAACAAGCGTCGACAATATTACACGAGTTATGTTCCTAATCACCGAATTAAGCAGACAGTTGAAGACAGCGTGAAATAATGAAAAGGATAAGTTAAAACATGATTAACGTAAGGGACATGCATATCAACCAAATTAAATCCAATCTGTTCTATAAGAAACGAATTAAGCAAACGAAAATTATAGAATAAATTAGAAAGGAACTAAATTAAATTGAAATTGATAATAACCTCAAAGAATTACGGAATTCGAATCCGGCAGATTTCCCTCAGGATTAGTTCGCCATGAAATACGTGAAAGCAAAAATAAAATTCGTGAAAGCTAGGTCCCCCTCCTGTAGCACGGCAGAAAACCTTATAAACAAAATAAGGTTTGCATTACACACTCAACCGGATCGGAAACATAAACCATGCCAAATAAAAATAACCCGAAATAACTTAATTTATACAGTCAGAAACTTTGACGAATTATTCGAGATCCATACACTCTGAATCAGATTCTTCATCCAACTTGAAAGTTGTAGATCTTTTTCTTAAATTTCCAACTACTGGTAGAACGTCTCAATTCGATTCCTGTAGCTCTAGTTATGAATTTTTTTATTGAAAGTTGCTAATGCTGAAAATAACAAACGAAAATCAAATAAGGGTGAAAATAAATTGAAATATAAAAACATCATAAAATAGAATAATAAACAAACAAAACCATAGAAATTCTTAAGTCTAAACATAGAGAAATGTGCATCAAAATGAACTGATCAAATTCTCCCACACTTGAACTTTTGCACTCCGACCAAAATCAAGAATTTAAAACCGAAACTTCAAAGCAAAAAGTAAACAGAGCATGCAATCTTAAAGGTTCTCTGGATACGAAGTGCAAGCAAACTTCTAATTCTAAGCTTCAAGAATATGACATTAGTGATTAACTCTTTTGTGACATTCAAAAAATATATGAAAAGTAGATTACCAAAAAGTACATCACAAGCATCAAAATCCTCACAAGATAAACTGTTTCCACTCAACTCTCAAGTGTTTAGGTTACATGTTTACACTCAAAACAAAACATGAGAGTTAGTACTACCATAAGCTTGAAAAAAACTCTAACATTCACAATTGACTTACATGCACACAAAGATCAAAAAGACTTTTATTAAGGTTGTAACGTGGCCAAGGTAAGGGTAGGATAAATCCTAAGGGGTACTAGGCTAAAACCAAAGAGTTAAAAGAAAATTGAAAGAATTGTGGGATTCGAACTACATGATACATCAATTGCTTTCAAACAACAATCTCACAACTTTTTTATCTTCTCTTTTTCCTTTTATTCTTCTCTTTTTTTTCCAGAAGAGATATGTATTGACATCCTTCTCTATTTTTTATTTTTTTCATTTTTTTTCTTTTGTGCCAACATCATAACAACATTATAATAATAATTCAAAGATAATTCTAAACCCCACACAACTCCATACAAGAATCTCTTAACCCTTTGATTAGGGTTATTTCATTGTTTTTCACTTTTCGGCTTGTAATAAATTTTAAAAAAAAGGGATAATAGGCTAAAAGGGGCTTGAAAACAAGGGTAATATTATCAAGGTTGACTTTTTGGCTAACTGGATAAAAATAAAACAAAATAACATGCGTTTATCATTTCAGTGTGTACAAGTAAATAAAAAGCTTCAACAAGAGTCAATTCAAGTTCTAGAGACTAACAAACATGAGTAAAATCATACAAGAAAGAAAGAGATGGATTTTTTTTATGTATATCTATTATTAGCAGAATTCTTTGAAACTTCTTCAAGAGTAGCAACTTTCAAATGCTTTGAATCTGAAGAATCATTTCTTCCAGATTTGAACATTCTTCTGAACTTGCCCTTTTCTGCAAACTACATTCTGTCGTTCTGATGACTAAACTTCACCAGCCTGCAATATATCTTTTCTTACTTAAGATAAATCCCAATGAGTTTTCATGAGAAAGTCAAGTGTGGACTAGTCCGTTTCTTGAAAACATCTCATACTCACATAGAATTAATCTTTAGAAAGCTTGATTTCTTGCTTTCTGAAGATTTGAACTTTGAGCAACTATGTTGAAAATCCAAACGTATTTGAAGATCAGTATTCAATAGATATATCTACTTATCTGATGAATCTATCTTGTCAATTGATTCTTCATTCTTCTTTCATAATCTACTTGAGGAGATTTCTTGTTGAAGGCTTCAACACTTCAAACTTCAAACTTCACAGAATCAGTGACTTGCTCAAGTAACCAAATAGATTACAATTTTAGAACTCATCATCCTCAAAAACTGATGTGAGGCTGAAATTGTAAGAACGGTGAAAAATCTCCAAAAGTATTTCTTCACACAGCCTATGGATCTTTTTCTGACACTGTTAGGTGTTTGATATACATCAATAACAGAACCGGGGCTTTGATACCAATTGAAGGTGAGAAATAAACACAAGAAAGGGGGGAATTGAATTGGGTTTATGCCTAAATAAAAACTTTTTCCTTTTCTTGTCTTCTTCTTCACTTGATGCTTTATGCGCTTATATTAAATACATTGCGGAAGCATAAATAATAAAGCATACTGAAAGTAAAGAACACAACATATATCCTGGTTCACATGAGCAACTCCCAAGCTAATCCAGTCCACCCTTCCAAGGTGATTTTACCTTAATCAATTAAGGACTTAATCCACTATAACCGAACTGATTACAGATGCACAAGCTAACTGCAAGTGACTAATAACAGATCAATGAAACATTCAGGGATCCCCAAGGATATAACGTTCATTAACATCTAATAGAATCCGATCACTAAAGATCTCCTATTAGAAAACCACAAATGACTACTGTCACTTGTCATCTCAGGTATACTGATCTTCACAAGATCAATTGAGGAACCACTAATTCTAAAATAGAATGTTGTGTTGCCGGAGATTACAATGGTGCTTCATAGCAAGCTAATTAATCCAAGTTAAGCACATAGCAAGTAATGAGTAACAACTTCTTGCTTCCTAATGCAGAAACTAATCTAATGATGAATCTCTAAGAGATTATAAGAACATAGTTTCCATATTTCTTAAAAGCTTTTCTGTGTGTGAGCACTAAGGCTTCTTTTCATTTAAGCTTTTCTTCTTTCTTTCTTTCTTCACTTCATGCTTA